CCCAGAGATTTCTCCACAGTCCGCCCGAACAAATGGGCGCGTACCAGTTCCAGCAGATCTAGATCCGATCGTTCTGCGAGAGGTAGTCGGCTTCAGGCCAGCCAGGAAATCTGGACTAAAATTGGAGCGAGGGGATGATCTAGTCGTGTCATCGACTGGCTCTGGCCGAATCCCTGTTCTTCACAACATTGGGCATTCCGGTGCGGGATGGCAAAGCTGCTGGGGCTGCGCAGACACGGTCTTGGAAATGGTCAAGGCGTTATCAAGCGAGTAGTGTTTGTTAATCGACGCCGCCCTCAGTCGGAGGGACACAGCCGTAAGCAGCGAACCACTTCCCATGTCATGTGAAATAAAATCATACAGCCACAGAAACGGTACAATTGCATGACGGAACTTAGGAACAAACTTGACAGGAAGTAGTGTGTAGTACATAGGTTACATATCCTCACGCCTTGAAATAACTCAGATTTCCCCTCCATCCGCTACATAACAGTTAAATATAAGATTACCAAAAGGGAGGTGGCGACTCACAGAACCTAACGATGACCAAATGGTATCGTGGAGGCGCAATACTATTCCGAGTGTCCCGAGTCGGGACACAGGGAATGGATCAATGACTGCCACATACTTGAAGTCAAACAAGCGACTGAAGCCATCGGGGTTGTGTCACTACGGCAGTCGGCATCTTTCTTGTGGGCACCATAGGTGCGAGTTGTAACCACTCCCTCCATGAGGAGAATCCCTGATGGATGGTTTCAGAATGACCCTATCTACAGCGGCAAGTGGTAAATGTCCTGATCGGGAACATAGGAGAAAAATTGAACGTTGCCGCAACGACAACCATGAGCGTGCACTGCGCGGCTTCTCTGCTCGAAATCAAGCCTCAACAGATACGAATTCTACCTCCCTGCCGAATGCATGTATTCAAGAACAATCTGCGGAGGGCCGAACTGTAGCACATAAGGCCTGTCTTATGACTGGTGGTTTATGACAGATCAACGCGGAAGAAACCCTTGTGACTGGCCTGAGATAGAGGAGGCTTATATTGAGGCGGCTCAGAACAAATACAGGAACAGGTACATCGGTGTTCGCCACACGGGGAGACGAAAATGCGCACAACCATACGTGTAGTACCCCTACAATGACCTGATTAAGACACTTACCACTTGCCGTAATCAATTCATATGTAGAAGGAGAAGCCAACCCTACCTGCGCATCAAAACACGGCACAATTCCAAACCCGCCCACTCCCGCCTCTGGTTCAATAACAATGCAGAGTCAACGACACCATAATAACAACGGAAGCAAAAACTATGGTAGTGCTGGTGGCGAGCATGGTGGACAAGTCGTTTTTGAGTTTAGGGCGAGTCCCGTGTCTCCTTGAGCGGCTGGAATATAAACAAGTTTGAGTGGCAACAATGAAGGCCGCGATCTCGCTCTGTGACCTGCATTTTCGATGCATGCGGCATTGTTGGAGCGGCCGCGAACAATGCCGATTTTTAATTGAAGGAAAGAAAAAAGTCCCATACATGCTAATATAGACACAAGCCAATCTCAGATGAAGAGAATTCCAACGCTGGCAGCTATAATGCCAACCAGCAGGCCCACCGACGCGCGGGACCACGACACCGCAGAGCTCGGCGAGCCGATCAACATCGTCGACGAAATATTGACAAAGTCCAGCTGCGTGTCCATGAAGAACCCAAATCCTACACCCCCATTATCGAGCGTGAAGCTGAGTGACTCCTGACCGGTGGGCCCCAGCTCGATGTTCGCACTACGGGTTCATGTAAGTCCATGATCGCCATAGATGAAGAGGAGAGAAAATTACCTCGCGTATTCGTCCCCAAGGTAGTCAATGACGCGTAGGGACGACACCGTGCCCTCGTTTATGCGGGTGTTGATTGTATATCTACACATGGCTGTTATCTCACGAAGCTGGATGATGCACTAATCATTACGCACGTTCCGGCAGGCAGGTCACCCACCGAGTGGATGATGGTGTTGCTTGTATCCTCTGCAGTGAACGGTGGGAACGATTCCACTGGGACAATTGTAAGCCCACCGAATAAACAAGTGCCTGGTCTCTGAACTTACTTTCGCCGTTCTCTGATCCTCCAGGCAGCAGATCCCGCATCTCAAGCGCCAGAAGTTCCTTCCCAAATGAGCCGAGGTAATTCCCTTCCGTAGAATTGAAGGGAGTGGCCGCTCTAATCGGTGCGCCCGTCACACAATTGTAGCCAGAAATCTCGAGCTGGTAATGCTGCCCCGTCTCCATCTTGTTGAGCTGCTTAAACGATGATATGACGCCGCCCTGGATATTCTGCGCCCTGCGGTTCCGATCGTAATTCGTGAGTGCGTTTTGCTCAGAAGAACGTCGAAAGCACACACAAGACCAATATGCAACTGAACACAGCACCGGCGCCACCGTCGGTCGTGCTCGCGAACGGAAACTACAGATGTATCCAGTACCCATCAGATCGGGATCTTGTAACAGCACATCCTCCTGACCTCGTCACACGATGTCCCAGTCGCACCAGTCGCGCACGGACTGCCGGTGCAGCCTGCTTTGGCGCGATTGTCTGCTTTAACCTTCTTGTCATCGGTGAACGTGAACGTAGCACTTGAGGTCTGTCCTCGGGCCTTCAAACCTGCAAGGGGCGTTCAATGAAAGTGGCAGAACCTAGGTTCATGGCAAACCTTTGCACATGCTCGCAAAGAGCTAGAAAGGGAGCAGAATCAGTGTTTAGCACTAGAAATATGACCATACGACGAGGGGCCGCTCCTCGGGGGTTCATACCTGATCGACCGCCTGTTCACGCTCCTGTTGCTTCGCGGCGCTCATCTTCTTCTTCCCTTGGCGGAGGCGTGCATAGTCGAAAGTCATCGTCGCCTTGGGTATGCGCGTCTCCGTGGGAGTAGGGGCTGAGCTCGCCTGACCTGCCAAACGGCGTCAGGTTCAATGTTAGATATGTAATACATTCCTGTATTGATACGCACTGGGACATGCCGCGGCCTGCCTGCCCTCCAGATCACGCCCAGAAAGGTTGCAGCTCACCATGTTCGACGTTGTCGAGGGGGACGTTGGCGTGGAGGTGGAGGTGGATGTCGACGTGGAGGTAGAGATAGATGTCGACTTGGAGGTGGAGGTGGTTGAAGTGGTTCGCCGTGTCGTGTGCGTTGTGACCGGCACCGGTGCAATACATTTCGATCCAGAGCACGTCTCACCCAGTGGGCAGCACGTTGTACCACAGCAGAAAGCACTACATACACCAACAAGGTCAGTTGGACGTTTCGGCGTATTCGGATACCTACATAGCAGGGTTGCAGCATGCGAGGCCGTTGCACTGGAGGCTGTTACTAGGGCAGCACCAAGTGAGCCCCGCACCAAGCGGGCTTCGCACAGATCAGAACCAGATCAGCAACATATCTTGTAAGTAGCATAGCAGCAAACGACGTACTTGTCGGGCTGGCAGATTTCCCCAGGGAGGCAGCATGCCGCAACATTGGAGCACGGAACTGGGTACAAGAGCTGGAGTGAGTACCGTGAGCTCAACTTGAGGGAGAGCGCGAGACTTACTGTATCCAGGATTTCTGCAAGTCCGAGTCTGGCGCGCCCCAATGCGCGACCCGGACGCGCCGGAACGCGCTAGCAGGCCGTCGAGTGCACCACGCACAGAGCCCAGTTCGAGCGCATGTTCGAGAGCACCGCACGACGTAGCGAGGAGGAGTCCCAGGGGTAGCGAGAGTGCCCTGACCATGATCACATACATGAGCTGAAGAGAGGGAAAGGAAAGAACACGAGGAGGAGCACTTTTCTCCAGTGGTACATATAACTCTCCATGCCATTGAATTCTATTGTTGTTAGGCCGTTTTCACGACAGTCTGATCAAGGAGGCACCATGATATGCGCATGTTAAAAACAGATACATAGAGTCTTGTGACAGCTGGATGGTAGATAGAGCACTTACATGGGGGTGAACACAATGAAGAAAGGTAGTGTTGAGACCTAGTTACAGCGCTCGCTGTGCTCGTGAGACGTGCACATACCGATAAATATATATGCATATCTATGTCTTGGCCTGTATCATGTATGGGTTGGGACAGGCGCGATCGTGATGTGGAGAATCCCCTCGACAAGTTGAACGAGTGCGACCTCAGCAATTGGCGGCGCAAAGGGTTAGCGCAGGTGCGAGAAATCGCGCGTGAGACGCAAAGCTGAAGAGAGGAAAGAACACAAGGAGGAGCTCTTTTCTCGAGTAGTACATATAACTCTCCATGCCGCTGGGTTCTGTTGTTGTTAGGCCGTTTTCACGACACTGATCAGGGAGGCACCATGATCTGTGCATATGAAAAACAGATACATAGTAGAGTCTTGTGACGGCTGGATTACAGATAGAGCACTTACATGGGGATGAACATATATGATGAAGAAATGCAGTGTTGAAACCTAGTTACAGCGCTCGCTGTACTCGTGAGACGTGCATGGGTTGATACATGTATATCTTGGCTTGTATCATGTATGGGGCAGGCACGATTGTGATGCAGAGAATCTCCTCGACAAATTGAACGAGTGCGACTTTAGCATTTGGTGGCGCAAGAAGATGAGCCTTATAGTCAGCGCAGGTGAGAGAAATCGTGCGTGAGACGCAAAGATATTCGTCGCGTAAATTCAGACTTAGCACAAGTACTAGTGGAGGTGAACTTGAATGTTGTGGTTACTAAGAGCAAGATCATATGATCGGAGGATTACGTGATGTATCATTGATGCCAAGGTTTCTTATGATAGATGCGGCCCATCCGCGGCGCATACCTTCTTTCCTCTTCTTTCTTAGTCTATAGGGCTTTTCAGATTTGAGAGTCCTTTATGCGAGTTTGACTTATGAACTCGACTCTGCTAGTGAACAGCCTTCCGGAATTCAAGGACTTGTTGTGTTCTCTCACTTATTTATCATCGTACTCGGGACACATGGGATCATTATCTTTTGCTAACGAATAACTCCATCTCAGCTCAGTGGTAGAGCGCGTCACTAGTACCGTCGTTAGACTTGTATGACGAGGTCAGTTGTTCAAGTCGGCTAGAGGAAATATACGAGATTGAATGTCACAGTATCGAGGGTTTGTAGGAAGCAGGAATATACTTTTTAGGCCGGTGACCGGTCTACACAGGTGCAGCACGGCCGCTGTTGGTGTAGTCAGCCGTTGATTCAGCTTATAAAGCTGAAGCTAGCAGGGCTCACTTAGCGCAGAACTACCCCGGGACAACCGACACATACCAGTAGTAGACAAGCAAACAACTGCCAACGCCTAAATTCATATTGCATTCCAGACGCAAATAGCAACCATTTGCTGTCCTGCAAGGAGCGTTTACTTCGCTACAGCCGACGCAAACACCCTGTTTGTATCGCCAACAACAATCTAGATTTAAGGTATAAAACCACGCTACCACTCCTTGCCTTCGGCGTAGTGGGTTTGCCGAGATCGCGTCTTCGGCTGCAACGATCAAAGTCCTCGGCGCAGGCATCGTCCTTCTGTTCGCAATCTCTTGGTATGTTCCCACTCCTTTTAAAGGCTTAGGTCGGAGTCAAAGGGTGTACTCACAGGCTATACGACCTACAAAAAGCCCGACACGGAACCTAGAAGTTTGCTTCACCCCCCAAGTAAGGCTAGGGTTGGCTCGCCTGACGCAACAAAATTTGACTGGTACAAAAAGGTTGAGACGGCACATCACAACACTGGCCATTTATTTTTTCGTCGGGACCGTGGCCACGCTCGGATGAACCATATAGCTGAAAAGGTCAAAGTTGTCCCCCAAAGGAATGTACCAGACAGGTCGCCCAAGTACTATTCAAGCTGCTCGTCACTGCTGTTGTCTATTCTGGTAGAAGCTTTGAATTGGGTAGTCAACGGTCATACAATCAGAACCCTTCGACTATACGAAGCTAGGGATCAGCAAGGATTAGCACGGCGTTGGATCCAACCTCTCCCGTCTTATACTTGATTATGCCAATCCTGGTCATTAAGAAAACATCCTCGACGTGACCTCTGATCTTGCGGGTACGCTATCGATCGTCCCCGGTCTCTCAACACAGATCCCAGCCGCCTGTCATTTCAATGGATGAGGGTTGTCAAAGATGAATTCGAAAGAGGACACGCACTTGCACACATGCCTTCAAGATACTTGTGAGATCCTGTTCCGCCATTCCATGCTCAGGTTTTGCTTGTGACCCGAGTTCCATCAAGCCTTGAACAAAGTACCCAGTAAAGCAGTCTCCCGCCCCCGTCGTGTCGCGGACAGTCCCTTGCAGCACAGCCGCAGGAACGTGCAAGAAAGAAGGCGTGCCATGCCCCGTATTTCGCCCATGAAACGCAGGGATGAAGGCTGATACACCGTCCTTTCCCTGAGTGCAAATTATGTTGGTTGTCGCGAGAGCAGGACACGCAGAGAGGAGCGGGAGGACTTCCATAGGCGATTTCGCCTGGTTTCCTGGAAGTAAATCCAGCCCAGAAAGTGCTGTGTGGAGGTCTTTGGCCTCACCCTCGTTGACGATGAGCCAATCTACCTTGCCCCAAGGAAAGTTATTGATCTCCTGGGCGGAAGGCATGGGTGATGGGTTGTATATCGTTATCGCACCATTGGAGTTGTTTAGCGCATAGAGCGTTGATTCCGAATGTATTTCGTTCTGCAAGAGGAGATGGGTACACTGCGGAAAGGTGAGCCCAGATGTCGCCCACGTCTCCTCGGAAAGCCGGCTGTGATTCGCACCGGGAAACAAAACTATAGATATTAGATATGTTAAGGAATACATCGTACAGAGGAGCTCTTACTCACTGATACTATTCTCGCCGCTATCAGATATCTGTATCAGGGCCCGCCCTGTTGGAACCTTGTTGTAGTCAGTTTCAGACGTACTGGCATGGAGAGACGCAGTGAACCCACGTCTGACACGGATATTCCACTAGGATCGAGGCCGAAACTTGAAACGGTCTCTTTAACCCAGAGGCCATCTTCGCCAACTGAGCCATAGAAATCTACAACCCCTCCCGCCTTGAGAATGGCTATGGCCTGATTTGCTCCTTTTCCACCCACACGGCGTTCATAGCGGTACGATGATATGGTCTCTCCTGGGCGAGCAATGTTCCTCACTGGGAGTGCGTAACTATGTGACTACGAGCTTGATTGTTTTGGGTGGGTGGGGACGCACCATGAAAGTATTCATCATTATCTAACCAGTACGCTTAAAACTATGCAGACGCCTTCGAGTGTGGTACACTCACTGATAGAGCCCCGCACAGCACATCGGCAGGGCGATGTTGACATGATGGATGTTGGGAGTTTCTCAAGGATTTGGATAATTATTCTGCATCGTATCTTATCTGATTGCCACTATGGCGATCGTTTGATCTATTCTCATCCGATTGCCCCTGATCCTCGTTGATTCTCGAATTTCAGCCAACATTTAGTATCCTCCTCCAATTGACTTTCTATGTTCTTTAACGATCACAAGCAGAACCAGGCTCTGATCCTCACCATTTCCACAAGCAATGATCTCGTGAGATACCAAAGGCCACCTCTTCGACATCATATTCAGGTACTTAAGCGCCACTGGAAGTAAGCTACGTACTAAATCACCAACCGTTGCACTCGATACTTAGAGGCTTGGCGCTCTTCTACGTGCTGCCCACCGCAAACTGGGTCTTTTATCCTCGTATCCTTGTTCTGATATTTTGTCCCTTCCATACCCCACCTCCCAATCCAAGTTTAGACCCCTCTTTGCGTGATGCTTTGAAGATAACTGGCAGTCAATCGCTTGAAACTATGTTCGACGCGCGGAAGGTGCAAGGAAGCCCAAGCTTTCGATCGTTGAATTCGCTAAAACCATATTTCGCTAGCTTGGACAGGAATATTTCGGTGGATGGAATTTGTCTACCATTATCCCAGAACAGATAAGAAATTTTGGTCCGCTAACTGTGATGTGTTCCCCGTCGGGGTTGTTGGAATATTGGGTCAGGGTACGAACGTTCACAATACCCATATCAAGAACTCACTTATTGTCTTCCTCGCGATCCACGGTTTACTTATGGATCTCGGCTCCATTTACATCACGGACTAACCTATTTAGTATTCCTTGCCAACTATACTACTCTCTCGCTGTATATAGTTCCCTTCCGTTGTTGTAGTTCCTCATCCGTTTGCCTCTCGGCTCACCGAGGTCAAACGATATCTTATCTTATCTTGTTGTTTGCTGAACTCGTGTCGGATTGCGGAAGCTATTTCAACAGGGGTTTCCCAACCATTTTCAACCCCACCCCCCGAAGCGCTAGATTGACCCGCCGACTCTGAACTTCGACGGCTCTACCAAATTATTTGTCGTATTCCTGGCATATTAAACATGGCTACAGAGCTCTGGACGTGACAGCAAGAGGCTGAAGTTGTGGACATTCATTTTGGCCTGGCAGTTGAGGTATTACTAGAAGGCTCGTGTCTCGATATTGACAAACTCAACAACGGATTTGGACTAGGTCAAGCAGTATTGGCCTCTATGCTGATGCGACCAATGCGGTATTGTTCCTCGGTGGCCATACTAAACTGAGGCTCACAGCATACTCCGCGGCGATAGCAGTATATATGAAACTCTTGGAGCACGGGCACCGATCATCTTCAAGAGTCTCATTTCTTAAGGTCTCCTGATCAACCTCGCGTATAGCTTAACCTCTTTCCTCTCACTCTTTCTCATCCTATCACTGGCCAATTTTTGGAATTCGCATCATAGTGGTCTACTTGATATCCTGTGTCATGGACGGCAAGGACGGCAATATGCGATGGGTTCGTGAGGCATTGCGCCTAAAGATCATCCCCCTTCTCCTAAAGTTTTGCTCAAAGAACGGTCTAGTCATGATGTGCCAGTTTTTGGGCATGCTATCGTTCTTGTTTTTTGCCTTAACATCCAGGGCCTTTTCTTGCCAGTGAGCTATCACAAGGCGCCAATGGGCTTATATCTTGGAAAACATTACAACATTTGCATATGCGCAACATGTTTTGAATCAGTTGGATAGGTATGCCTTGAAGTGTTCATTACCCCTGGTACGCCCACTCTTTGGTTCACGAACTTTCATTGATGTTACCTTAGTGTGACAAGACCGAGGCCGACGTCCGTTTTCGCTCGTGCAGTGCATGCAAAGAGGTTGTATGTTGCTCTCGCACATGCCAGACGCGAGATTGGAGAGATAATCATCGCAACTTTTGTAAGACATTCTGCACCTTGCATGATGGTGCGCCCAACCTCGTACTGCATTGTGGGGTCCAGTGTTTGACTGTAAAGATGTGAAAATGCACACCGTGCTCTTCAGCAGTCGTTCGATAAAAATTTCAAATAGTGCAGGATTCATTGCGTGTTGGGTATCCAAGATGGTATGCTCTACATTTAATCAATGTAGGGACCACGTTTCCTGTCCCTTCTTTACGTACCTCGCAAATGCCTTCATGAAACGAGCGACATTCAAGTCGCAGTATATCGCAAGCTGAAACAGCTTCAAGATGACGGCTTTGTTCAGGAGTAGCTTATACACTACCTTGATCTCAGCAGGTTTCCTCCAACGAACGCACTGATGTCATTCAAGGAACACCTCCATCGTCTTCAGGACTTACCCCAACTATAAGACGAGACTTGCCCGTCTGGGCATGTATCCAGGAGGATTGCACTTTTGCCACAATGCCATCGGCCATTGGTCCATTCATGTTTAACGGACGCCATCGGAAGGTTGTGATATATACTCCCCCAGAGTTTTCTGAGGACCTCTTTGGATGGATGAAAACCGGAAGGACGGAGGGCAGGGAGTTGGTACTTAGGACCTAGCAATTCATTCTTTGATTAGCCTATGTACACACCTGAATTTACCCCAAACTCGCGATAACTTGAATTCAGAAACCGCGCTCCATGCAAGGAACCTAAGCGGGGATCGGGACTACGGCAACATCATGCTTAAGACCACATATTTAAGATGGCACGGCACGACAAGCAAATCATGGTCGATGTCCACACCACAGTTCCTGAGAATCTGATTGGTAAGTTGGCTGAACAAATCCA